GGGGGGGGGGTAGGGGCAAAAGGTGAGCAAGAAGGATGGGTACCCCAATCACATTGAGGGGCATTGGGGGTGTTTAATGCCTGGAGGATTAAATGGTCCTGGAAGACCAGAAAACTCTCCCACTCTCACCACCTGCCATTGGCATGTTGGCTTCATGGAGAGATGGCCACTCGCCTGAACGGACACAGTCTGCGATCGTCGACCATCAACCCGGAGATTTCGGCCCAGGGCCTGGGGCTTTGGCCCACTGCAAACCACCCCCAAACCCCCTCGAGGGCTGTGGGAGACCCAGCAATTTGCCCCCATCGTCAGCCAGGATCACACACAAACCCTCATCACCAGAGTCCTCACCCTCTGCTGTGGGCGCGGGGTCCCAACCAGAGTCATCAGGCCGAACGCAAAAAATATTGGAAACTTATCCACCTCAATCCCTGCCGAGATAGAATGGAGGGCCAGGCGGGGCGGGGGGGTGGGTAAAGGGGGGTTAGGCATCCATTGATGGTCAGGCAAGGGAGTGGTTGGCCACAAAATGAATGATTCTGTGTAGGGATTTGGTGGGGGGCAGGGAGCAGTGGTTGGCCACAAAATGACGATCAGGTGGAGGGATTTGGGGAGGGGGGGGGGGAGGGGGAGAGATGGTGGTTGGCCACAAATTGGACGACTGCAGTGCTGATGCCTTCCTCAAGGTCTTTAACCCTCGGTTGTGACACTCCTAGCGACGTTCCGACAGCCTGCAATTTGAACGTGGAGTACCTAGGCTGATTGCCAGTGTGTGAACTGCTTGAGAATTCTGCTGTCTTCAGCATGGAGTTCCCTCTGCGGGGCGAGAGAGAGGTCACATTGAGGAAGTAACGGGGTTGGGGGGGTTTGGAGAAAAAAGAAACAACAATTACCAAGAAACAAAAGGCAGATGCTGGAAGCCTTGCCTGGGTCCTGAATGCTGACCGCTCCCAACGGTCAAAGCACTTTGGGAAACACCAATGCAGATCACCCAATCCAGTCGCAGAGTAAGAAACTAGACCAATGAGCTGCATCGACCATCAACCAATCACGGTCTGAGCTCCATTCCAGATTCGAGTTTCTTCAAACTGCATTGCCGTCTTTTCAAATGAAAATTAGCCAAATCTACAGGATATCCACTTAATCTCCAATCCCACACTCTTCATCCTTGATCCCCACTGGGCGACACGGTGGCTCAGTCGTTATCACTGCTGCCTCACAGCACCAGGGACCCAGGTTCGATTCCCCCCATTGGGCACCTGTCCGTGTGGAGCTTGCACATTCTCCCCGTTCTGTGCAGGTTTCCTCCCACAGCCCAAAAATGTCCAGGTTAGGGTGGATTGGCCATGCTAAATTGCCCTGTAGTGTCCAGTGGCTGGGTGGGTCAGCCATGGGGAATGCAGCGTTACAGGGATATGGAAGGGAGGTGGGATGCTCTTCAGCGTAGACTTGATGGGCCAAATGGCCTGCTTCCACACTGTAGGGATTCTATGATATCCCACACAGCTACCTATAAAAGGGATCCAACCCTTGTTCCTAACAACGGGACTGTCAGGCCAATCCTTAAGAGTACAGAAAACTCCTTCTGTTTTTCACGGTCTCCGGAACGTGACTGATGTCACTCGCTTCGTGCGAGGCATCATCTGGCTCCTTTAAAGGAGTTAAAATGGTGGCGGGTGACACAGTTGGATTGAAATGTTGTCAAACCGCACCCCCCCATTGAGTACATGCGGCCCAGTCCAACAGGCTCCAGGCCGTGTCCCCACTCCTCGCAATCAACTCCCTACACTAGGCCTGATCCACATCCTGACACCACGCTCTGCCTTGGCAGATTTGACATGGCTTCAACATTTTTCCAATTGATGTTTTTTTCATTTTTGTTGCCATCCCCTCAGTGTCAAAATCCTGGAATTCCCTCCCCAAGGGCACTGTGGGTCTACAGCAGCAGTTCAAGATGGCCGCTCACCCCCACCTTCTCAAGGGGCAATTAGGGACGGGCAATAAATGCTGGCCCAGGCAGCGACACCCACATCTACCCAATGAATGAAAAAAAAAGTACTGAAGGCACAGACCTGACAACAAGACTCACTCGGCTCCCCACACTTGGATTTCCTGTATGTCAAGTAAGTTTTAGATACTTTATCCTCCCAGGCCTTGTCAATGGTGGACAGGCTTTGGGAGTCAGAAGGTGAGTTGAGTTACCTGCTGCAGTATCCCCAGCGTCTGACCTGCTCTTGTAGTCACTGTGCTTATGTGGTGAGTTCGGTCGCGTTTCTAATCAATGCTAAGCCCCAGGACGTTGACAGTAAGGGATTCAGTGATGGTAACACCATTGAATATCAATGGGGCAATGGCTACACTGTCGCTTATTGGAGGTGGTCATAGCTTGGCACTTGTGACAAGTAACATTCGCCATACTGGTCAGCCCAAGCCTGGACATTGTCCAGATCTTGCTGCATTTGGCTAGAAAGCTACAAAAACAAGCTGATATCTTAACCTGGGCTGTGCGGGCCACACAGAACTCTCTGGGTGTGAATGGATGTGGTAATGGAGTGGAGAAGTTGACGTGCAGAACCGCCCACTATCAACCTGTGCTCTCGCGTTTTCAGATCGCCACACAAAATGCCTCCCCCACCACCCCAACTCCTTCTAATGTCATCAAGTCACAGGAACAGGCCACTCTGCCCCTTTGAACCTGCTCTCCCATTCAATATGATCACGGCTAATCATCCAACTCAGTCCCCTGTTCCCACTTTCTCCCCCCATACCCTTCGATGCCTTTAGTCCTAAGAACTATACCTATCTCCTTCTTGAAAACATTCAATGTTTTAGCCTCAACCGCTTTCTGTGGCAGAGAATTCCACAGAATCCCCGATTCTCCAGGTGACAAAATGGCTGCACCTCACAATCACCTGAAGTGACCTTTCACCCCCAACAACGACCCAAACGTGACACTCACCTGGAGACGGATGAACTGGGCTTTTCCCAAGGTCTCTTCACAGACTCTGAAAACAGACAAGAGGAAATCAGGACATACTTTTCACTTCAAGCTGCTTTATCTGACGAGACCAAAGTCAAGGTGCAGTTTCCCCAAAGACCGGGCAAAATTCACTTTGAAGAGAGACTTGGCGTCAAAGCTTCTCATCTTGCTCCGCATCCCGCCCTCCCGACAGAGATACAGACACAGACACACACACAGAGACAGGCAGAGACAGAGACAGAGACAGAGACAGAGACAGAGACAGAGACAGAG